ATCTCCAATATCAATATATCAATATATCAATATCAATAGACTTTCATCTATTGAGGATTTATTGAATATCTATTAGAGGTAGCACGTAAGACTGAGCTCTGTGATGGTTGTGATGAGGACCATAGGCATAAGACAACGCTTCCCATTCTTTCCTCTGCAACGGTTGCTTGGGAAATCAGAACCCCTTTTGGGCTTGTCTTATTTCCCCAGTTCTTTTTTCTTTTTTTTAATTGAAGTGTAGTTGACACACAATGTTATATTAGTTTCATGTGTACAACATAGTGATTTGACAAGTCTATTCATTATACTATGTTCATCCCAAGTGTAGCTACCCTCTGCCACCATACAGTGCTAATACAACACCACTGACTATATCCTCTGTGCTGTACCTTTTATTCTCATGACCTATTCATTCCCTAACTGGAAGCTTGTATCTCTCATTCCTCTTCACCCTTAATCCCCTAGTTCTAAATAATGTTTTTCTATGGCTTCTTGTACTCGATTGTCACTTCTTTTAATTCCTTGGTTTCTTTCTTTTACCTTAAGTGTTTCTCACCTTCTGATACCAACACATTTACTGCAAGTCACTTCAAATGGTTTTGGAAAAATTAACTATTATAAAACATTTCCTGCTTCTAAAGAATTCATAGTCTAGCAAAAAGATAAAGTTGAAAAATATTGGAATATTGCATCATGAACGGAGATTCTAACAGAGAAGCCCAAAATAAATATGTCTTAAAGGGGAGGAGGTCATATCCAGGTAGGAGACCACTTGTGGAGATGTCCAGTGAAATGAGCATTGAATGACAGGAGAATGTCAACACCTGAGGATGTGGGCTGAGAAGAAGAGAGCTTAGGGCACATTTAGAGCATATTAACATCAGATACTATTTGGCAGAAACCTAACAGAATTAAGGAGATAAGGCTGGGAAGAGCTTGGAATCAAGTGAGGAGGGATGGTTGTAAATGTTAAGGTAACCCCTGCGAATCCTACCAAGCGTTTCTGGGTAGAAAAGTGATGTGCTCAAAGTGATCTCAGAGGTCACATAATTATAGACAAGGAAATTGGGGGCCCCACGGATAAGTGTTTAGCAGGCAGAGATGACTTCCAGAATACTTGAGAAGGAGGCACCCTGTCCACATCATCTCTACGAAGACCCACAGAGGTAGCAAGTTTCAAAAGAAGACACAAAGGAAAAGAGGCAACTCGGTCACACTCTAGAAAAATGCAAGTCGAACTTCAGGGAAGGCTGCTTTCTTCTGTCCCATCCCATCAGCATACCCCAACCCAAGTGAAGAAATCTGTGTCACTAGCTCCTGCTTGCTGACCAGAAACACCTCTGATTTCACAACAGATGAATCAAGCTTTGGCATCATCCCCCAGACACCCTGAAAAGTTGGTGGTGGGGGAGAGGGGCAGCGAGATTTCTCTCCCAAAGTTTGCTGCCCAGACTCCTCCCCACCCCCCCCAAAAAAGAAAAGAAAATGAAAGAAAAAAAGAAAAAGAAAAAAAAAACCCTAAATTTGGAGGATTCCAGAAAAGCCCATTTGGAAGTCACCGGTGAATCAGAGGCTTTCCAGGACTCCTTTTAGCACCACATTCTTTACTCCCAGGCCTTAACCAGTGACCTGGGTCCAGCTGCACTGACACAGCTGTTGAACGCCTATTCTATGAAAAAAGTTCACTTCTGGCTCGAGTCTCCACCCCACCCCCACCCCCACGCCTGAGTCTGTGCTTTTCCCGCTTCCCTTGCCACCCCCTGCTGTTCTTCCCAGGCACCGCTCGGCCTATGACCTTTGCTAGGACTCACGCGGGGCGCCCTGCCTCGTCGGCTTTGGCGGTGATTCCTAGGAACTTCCCAAGGACCAGGGCTCTGCAGGCTCTGACACGCAAGGGGTGGGGGTAAGGGGAGGAAGAGGGGAGCAGGGTGTCTGGAGAGCCCCAGGCGGCGTGAGCCAAGCTCGGGCGGAGCGGGGTTCATCCCCCAGGAGCCCAATTCGTGTCGGCCTTCCGTCCCTTCAACCCCTGGTTGGCGTTGCCACAGCAGAGAAGGCGGCGAGGCATCCTCTCGGAAGCTCTCCCCGAATCACTTGGCTGCGCTTAAACTCCCTTTTCCGGATGAAGAAGGGTTTGCAAGTACAAATCTGCGCCCTCCACCTCGTTGTTTCTAAAAGCCTTGAGGGTGTCCAGGCCCGAGGCGCCCGAAGTTGTTAGGCTGCGCAGCGTGGGGCTAAGCGCCTAAGACGCACGGGGCGCACGAATCGTGCGCGCCTCCGGGAGAGCCGCGCGCTGGACAGCACCTTCCTCCCGCGCGCACCGCGGCGCACGGCGCGACGCGGTTGGGTCCCGCTGGTGCGGCCGTCGGCGGGTTTACGCCGGCCTTTACAGTGGGGCTGTGAAGGTGCAGGGGAGTCGGATTTTGAGTTTTCAAGAGTTCTTAACACTTGTAGGACATGCTAGAGAAGAACGCATCTCCTGAGGTGCCCCCCAGGAACCCAAGAGTAGGCGCTTCTTTCCTGAAATTGCTAAGGGAGCTTTGAAAAGTGTTTTGCGGGCGAGCCCCGTCAGATCTTTCCCCATTCATTTCAACTTCGAATCGGCCCTGCGCCGAAGGTTCCGGTCACTATTGCACTTCAGTGCCTTCGCACGCAGGTGAAGCCTGAGGCTGCACCCACCCTCCAAAGCATCCCTTTAAGTAAGCGCACGAGTTTCCTTTAGTTGCCACAGAGGAAAGAAAGCACTAGTTGAAAGAGGTTAAAAGAAATACGCAGAATGTACAGCATGAGTGAGGATTGGTACCTAGTCCTTAGAGTGGCTGCCTTTTGAGGATATTTTTTCAGTCAAGAAAGGGGATTGGTCGTGGAAACGGCCCTGCAGGAGAAAGATGTAGATATCTGTTCCTTAAAGCACCTTCAGGCACATATCAAGGGCTTAGGGCAAAGATAACAAGGAGGAAGGTGAGGGAAATTCCTGATGGTTTTACCAATGTGAAAATTCCATAGATTTGGCTAGTTCTATTTTCCCTTTCATGTAATCAATTCAGAATTCTATAAAGGAAGAGAATGACATCAAGGAAAATCATTGGTCTAGAAGAAAAGAGCCCGTAGGCGTTTAGGTGTTATATATGTGGAGCCAGAAAGCTCTGGAGCATCAGGGAGACTCCAACTTAAGGCAACAGCATGGGTGAATATGGGCTTCGTGTGCACTGGGAATGAGAGGCAAACACTGGTGCCTGGTCATGTGCCCCAAAGGCAGGCCTTGCAGATCTAGAGGCAATTCAGTGTGGATGGAAAGACTGTAGTGTGAAACTGGGGTGGAATTGAGTTTCCAAGTATATTGCCTGATGCCTTATTATTTGTTCTGTCAGTTTTTTTCAGGAAGATCTTCGTCTTGCAATTGGTAGGGCTGGTGCTAACCTACAATTTCACCGACTGTGATTTTGAGAAGATTAGAAAGAAGTATCAGGAAGTCATTTATCATGCCCTGGATAAATATATGAATGGGGTAAGTGAAGAAACATTATTTTTTTAAAAACAAGCATACTTTCATCAAAAGAATGGGCACATACACATGCACACTGGAATTTAATTGTTAAGGAAGGAAAAATGATTTGGAAAAAATCATGGCCCAGCATTTTGTCAACATTTTAAAAAGTGATATTTAAATATATTAGCCTCTCAAATGACTACCTAGAAATTGGCACACATTAAATGTGCAGATGCTGATGAGGAGCAGATATTGATAGATAACACATATTTACCAAGGTGTGTATCCACCACCAAAGTGCTGCTCTACCAGTGCAGCAAAAAGAAAACTGTGAGTGAGGGCTTGAGAGAGAAAGGGGAGTGAAAAAGAGGGAATTTTGTGAGCTACGCCCTAACGAGAGAGCATTGACCTGGGAAAGGTGCACTGCAGGTCTTGCTAGTGTTCTAGAAGACTTAGAATGCCATTATGGAAGAAGGTGCACTCCTGAATTTTAATATACAGGAGTAATTATTTTCCTGATTATTCTAACTTCTGGATACAATAAGCAGGTGTGAAATGCATGGATGGTTACAAGGCAGATATGGGCATTCCAAAGATGGCATTATTGCTCACTTGTGTAGTGTTATGTATAAGTGTGCCCAGTTTGGTGGTGGGAAGTGGTGGTGAGGTGGGGTCTCTCTCTAGAACCAGATACTTTAATATCCGGCTTCAAACACTAGCAGGTACTATCTGAATTCGAAGTGCTTCACTACCTTGTCAATGATGAGAACAGCTAGATGCACAGGAACACAAGTGCCTAAGTGGAAACTGCTTTCAGAGCATCCTTAAAACCTGGGAGCAGTGGGGGCAGGGGAGAGGGGGAAATGATTTCCTTTGTGAACTAAACCTTTACTCTTATTGTCTTTTTTTTTTTTCTTTCTTCAGAGGAAGAGCACCGGATTCAACAACCACATCTACTGTGAAGACCCGGTGAGTAGGTGGTCAGCACTGTTGGCTTTCTCCAGAGACACACCTGGCACTCCCGACACAGGGTAACCTGCGGCGCGTGGAACCGCAGGAGGTGGCTGGGCTCCCAGGCAACGCTGACCCAGTAGAGACGCCTAGGCTGCCAGAAACCTCCGGGCCGGTGCCCTGCTTGGGACGCTACTTGCGTTCCAATTTAGGGAGCGGAAGTCTCTCTTGGGGGCCAGCGGGATTCCGGGAGAGCCCCTTACCCCCTCCTAACCCAGGCCCCGGCAGGAAAAGCAAGTCGGGAATAGTGACCAGGCAACGCCGTCAGGGCACCTCTGCCCGGCTGCAGAGCCTCCGCGGGGCACGCCGCCACTCGGTAGCCCGGGCGGCGACACAGGACTCAGGGGCGGAGCGAGCACCGGCGCGCGCCCTTTCCCCGCCTGCGCCGCCGCCACGCTCTCAACGCCTCTCGTTACTCCTGCGTACGCGGGTTCTCTCTCTCTTTCTCTCTCTCTCTCTCCCCCCCTCCCCCTCTCTCTCCCCCCTCTCTCTCCTCTCTCTCTCTCACTCTCTCACTCTCTCACTCCTCTCTCCCTCCTCTCTCCTCAAATGAGATCGCTTCCTCCCACTCGAAGCGAGTCCGTTGTGTCTCCCGCTCCCCTCCCCCATCTCCCCTGCTGCATTTTTCACTCATTTCTTATCGACTCTCTCTCTCTCTTTTTTTTTTTTTTCTCTTTCTGTTGTTTGTTTTTCCTGGCGTTTTCTCCTTTTCTCGTAACTCCTGACGCCCGTGAGCAGCCAGATTGCCTCACTAAAATCGACCGCATTACCTTCTATCCCAACCACGGCTGCACGTCACTGGCCAAGGAAATCTTCGCGGTAAGAACTAACGCTACGCTCACTCTCCAGTGCCCCGGCTACTCAGGAATGCAGGTAAGCTTTCTAATGCCTTGGAATTAACCTTAAAGTGGCACGCTGTTGCAGAAGTCATTATGATTTTTATTCAGGGCCTATCTCCTGAAGAGCAAAGGAGCCTGTAAAAGCTGTAGATTCAGTATACACAGGGCCCCCAAGCCTATCTATTTCTAGGGTTCTGATTCTTTTGGCACAATTATAGTTCTAAACCTTAGGCAGAGTTTCACGGTATGATCAGTGAACCTATGTCCTGGTTGCCGGAGCGTGGGAGAGTAATTATCCAAATGCCAATCCGCAGGGACCCAACCTAGACCTTAAAAATCACAATCCCTGTGCATGAGCTTCTTATGAGATTCTTATCCTAAATTTGAGCAGCATTGCTTGAGCTTCTCACTAAATACTGTGTGTTTCTTTTGTAAAATGTTGCATTATACATAAACCTCTCCCGCACATTTGCTTAATTGCTTGTATAGCTCTCTTTACATAATGGATTTTTGCACATGCAGTTACATGCATTTGAATGGATGTGTAACTTTAGAAACAGTAGTGCAGAGTTAGGAGCAGGAAGTCTGGAGACAATCTTTCCTGACTTTGAACCCTAGCCGCAAAACTTCTAACTTAACGTCTAGCCTCTGTGTGGTCACTTTCATGTGCAAAATGAGGGTCACATTAGCAAGTCCCATATACAGTATTTATGAGGATTAAATGAGTCAATAGATGTGAAAGTACTTAGAATAGTGCCTGGCACATGACAAGTATTAAATAAATAGTGATGTTTTTATAAAGTATTCAACAAATAATACGAGTAAAGCAGGGCATTTATCTTTGTGATGACAAATTTTAAAAAGACAAGTGCAGATATGTATGATTGCTGCCTGTTAACTGGTGAGCTTTCTCAGTCTGCACACTAAATGTCTGTGTGGTCATCACATTTTTAGAGATTAAAGATTGAGCCATACGGTCTATCTGGATTGGGCTAGAGTTAAATACTCAATATCACAAGCCAGCTGTTTGGCTCTATGTCTTCTCTCAGGGAGACACTGGCAAATCTACAGGTGGCCACAGTGACATTCTCCCATATAAGAAGAGTATAGAAGACAATCTAGATCAAGTTCTAGACAGCATGCAAGAAAGAGAATGTCTGAGAAATTTATGTCAGCCCCCTCCCAAGCCCAAAGGGAGAGCCTAAGACCAATGTTTATGATTCAGCAGATTTTAGACTAAGATTTTTGCTTAATAACCTGATGAATTTTATTGATCTGAATATTGTGTGTCTAGAAGGCCCAGTCTGTCACTATTCAAGAGTAATTCAGGTGAAAGAATGCACAGGAAGATTATCACAATCTTTTTTTTTTTTTTAAGTTTAGATTCCTTTTTAGTCTGTGGCACACTTAGGTGGCAGGAGGGACAGAAAGGAGGAGTACTTTGGGTCCAAATAAGAGGTTTACTGAATTATATCTATAAAGAGGCATAAGCCCTATACATGAGGAACTTATGGTCTTGTTGGGGAGATGATGAAACCACTAACTTAATCCTTTCTTTAGTCATTCGATAAATATTCAGTGTTTCCTACGTAAAAGACATTGTGTTCAGCACTACGGGGAATACCCATGATGCAATAATAAAAAACAGCATGTAAGTGAGAGCCAAGTTAAGTGAAACACACTGAAACACTAGAAGAGTTTCGAAAAGAAAAGTCTGAGCAATGAGCAAAGGGCTTGTTAGGGAGGTGGTGCTTGCCCTTGAAGCAAAAGTAGGTGGGTGGAGAGAGAAGGGAGGGCATTCCCTTAGGAGAAAGCACGTAGGAGTAACACAAAAGCAGCTGTTTGAAGGACACACTGAAAGATGATTTGCATAAAAAAGACCCTGCCACTCAGTGGTTGTTAAAGATAGTAACTGTCTTGATGATTGATTCTCCAATTCCACAGATGAATAATACCCAGGCAAAGACGAAAAGAAAGAAAAGAGAAGCTACAACAAATAAATGCCGGGAACAAGTCTCACGCTTAATGGAATTGTGGCGTCGATTCAGTCGCATTTCATAGAAACAAAATACACCTTTCTTACAGCTGTATTTCACCCCAAGAAAAGAAATCATCTTTATTAGGTAGATGTAATGTTAACTCTACTGTGACATTTAAAAGACCACCGATGGTTATTTTTTTAATTACAGAAGGGTTTCTTAACTTATTTTTTAAGCTTTTATTATTTGATGTGGGTTTTTAATACAGGGGAAATACTACCCCTCAAATGTAGGGGGAGTCTGCTGTAGCAGTGATGCCTGGGCCACTGGCTTTGTGCAGTAATTTCTGCTGGAACTACATAACTTCCCTTATTTCAAGGGAAGAACCTAAACATGTAGCAGAAGGAAAAAGAGAAGGTTGAGAAAGGAAAAGGTTGAACTCAAGAGCATGCAAACCTCTGTTTAAAAGACAGGTGTTTCTTCTATGTGTACTGATACTTATTGTGTTCTTATATTAAAAATGTACAAAAGAAAATAAAAGCAAAAGGTGTGCACAAAAAGTTGTACATATAATGAAGCAATCAAAGAATTTTTGAGCAAAATATTGTGCAAGTATTGCAAATCGAGTTTTAAAAATCATCTGACAAGAGTGATGTATATGCAAGCAGATCCTGAAGAAGTGCCTTTATTAAAGCTAAAATATATATTTTTTAAAGTTATGGAATATATTTTTAATTTATTTGTAAGCACTTTTTAAAATGTACATGTTGCTTTGTAATGGACACTATGTATTTCTTAATAAAACAAGTCTCAAATTAGCTTCTTATGGATGGTCTTTTTATGTGATTAGTAGACTGAGGGTATCACTTTTCTTCAGCTTTTTTTTTTGAGATCTTAATTTTATTTGTTTTAATTATAAATGTCAGTATAATTGACATATTCATTTCAGATGTACAATATAATGCTTTGGTATTTGTATATATTGCAAAATGATCACCACAATAACTCTGGTTAGTATCTGTCAACATACATGGTTACAGATTTTTTTTTCTTGTGATGAAAACTTTGAAGATCTTCATTTCTTTAGTTCATTATGTCCCCTCATCCTTGGAGCCCACTGGCTACGCCCCCTCTTGCTTTGTACTTTGTCTTACCTGTGGAGAGAATATTTGGGGATAGGTGGCTTCAGGATGCATTCCAATTATCTTTTTCTTAAGCTATGCCTCTAGTCCTGAATTTCCCCCCAAATTGGAAGAGACAGTGGAGACCAAGGTAAGCAATGTCAAATCCATTCTCCTGTTCTTAAATGCCTGCTGACAGCAAGAGCCACAGGCACCCTCTCACTCCCCTCCCAGTCAGATTGTTCCCAACACCAGTGGGAGGGACTACCCTAGCCATTGAGCCCAGGCCAAAATGAAGCAGATAGAAACACACTGATTTTTCCCCGGAGTTGAAACTTTCCCCTGACCACTGCTCTGAGGACTGGTGCTAACAGAGTCCCTAAATCCAACTTACCTGCTGACAGGTAAGAGAAAGTTTATATTATGACCCCAAAAAGCATTTATGGAGCACCTACTGTGTGCCATCCCATCAGCCAAGTACTAAGGATACTAAGGGTTTTTTTAAGGCTTATTTATTTTTGAGAGAGAGAGCGCAAGTCGGGGAGGGATTGAGAGTTGGGAACAGAAGATCCGAAGTGGGTCCTATACTGATAGCAGTGAGCTGGATGAAGGGCTCAAACTCAGAAACCATGAGATTGTGACTTGAGCCAAAGTCAGATGCTCAACCAACTGAGCCACCCAGGCGCCCCTCATATGTAGTCAGTTTTATAAATGGTCAATGGTCAATGGAAGGAAAGCTGCAAATTCTGGTTTAAGCATATATCAACTCAGGCTCCTGTGTTAATTATGCTATTCACATCATCTATAACCTCATCTCATGAGATGTACACAAAAGCATGCAGCAGCAATTGTAATTGGCAGTTATCGTATGATCATCTCTGAGATGAAGCTGTGAATGGCAAAGAAATAAGATGGAAATGGTCTGAGGTTTTAAGTGCACAACTGAATGGATGAATCAACCAACTGTGAAGTCTGCTCCACTTCTTTATTTTTCTTTGTGTGAGCTACTTGAGTAAAGTTTTTATTTTGGCTTTGGCTTTGGCTTTGGTTTTGGTTTTCAGTCTTTGTGGTTATTGTTACTTATTGCTGAAAGCTGCAATTTATCTGAAGGCCAACAAGAGATAAATTAAGCTTTTGATTTAAGGAATAATTTGAAGTGGGGCTGGGGTAGAGAGTGTTGGGCAAAGTGAAGTTAAGCCTTAATAACATGGGGAACAAAGCCTGAGTTTTGAACTTGGTTGGGGGCGGGTAACAGAAGTTAGCATGTACAAGAGTGCTACTCTTGAACATATTTCATATTGCTTCCCCTAACCAAGTCTTTTCTAGCCTTAAAGATTATAGCCAAGATTCTGCTTTTTAGAATGTGCTTTATGAGGGGCGCCTGGGTGGCTCGGTCGGTTAAGCGTCCGACTTCAGCTCAGGTCATGATCTCACAGTTCGTGGGTTTGAGCTCCATGTCGGGCTCTGTGCTGACAGCTAGCTCAGAGCCTGGAGCCTGTCTCTGGATTCTGTAACTCCTTCTCTCTCTGACCCTCCCCTGCTCATACTGTCTCTCTCTCAAAAATAAAACACTAAAAATTTTTTTAAAAAAAGAATGTGCTTTATGATCCTGTTCCCTCCCCTTGTACTCTCCCTTGCACTATTTATGCTTCTTATGGGGAGGGAGATGGTAAGAGATTTCAAATTGTGTTGAGGATGAATTTAGACTGTGTTTGGAGCAGATACCTTGGATATAAAAATTTGTGGAATCATTTAGGGGAAATAGATCACATGGATGTAGAAGTTGAGAAGACCTGGTATAATAACTAACACATGGAGGATTCTCAGTAAAATATTGAGTAAATTAAATGAATTAAACTGAAATCAAAAGTTAAATACCTGTTTCCCAAGAATAAACTGTTCCTTAAAGGCCAGCATGAGTCAGAAATAGAAATGTCAGCAGCAACTATCTACTGGTATCTGCCACCTGCTTTCTCCCCTCCCCCCTCATTACTTCTGTAGGTATCTAAAAGGCAAAAATATTATCATATTCCAAAATTAATCTTGTTGCAGTCTGCTACTAAGCTCCACAGGCTTCTTTCTTAACAATCCTCCTCTACCTATTCCTTTCCCCTCAGAATGCAAAAGAAACCTTTAAGCATCAAACATCCACTTAGCCCTTATTTTGTGTCATCTCTGGGCACATGGCTGAGAACATGGATAATTTGAAAATCTTAAAATACCAAAGGGTATTTATCATTTGTGAACCTTGTGTCCCTCACCTTCTGTAACCCAGCCTTAATACTTTTATAAGGAAAAACATATTACACTTTTTAAAAAATAAATACCTTTCACACATTTCTCCAGAAATTCCTATAGGCTCTTACCAGGTTACAATGAGATAATAAACAATCATCACATCCCACTGGCTTGTGACAACAGTCACTTGTCACTCGTGTTGCAGATCAGCTCCAGGTTTTACCCACATATCTTCTCATTCTAAGATTTAGGCTGAAAAAGCAGCCCCTATGTGGGACATAGCTTCTTGTGGCAGAGGAAAAGAGCAGAAACATGCAATCAGTCTTCAGCCCCTGCTGAGACATGGATACATCACATATGCTCATGTGCAATGAACGAAAGCCAAATGCTCCCTCTCCTGCTACAAAGGATTTGCTATAAGGCCCAGGCAAAGGACAGGAATAAATCTTATAGGGAGGGAGTATAAATATAGGGAATCTGAAAATAATATATGTTAATCTGAAAGGATATGACTGATCTAGGAAAGAAAAAACATTTCATATTTTTAGCATTTTATATGTAAATTTTTTCATGGAGAAAATGTTTATTGAGTAACTCTTATGTTCCAGGCACTGGTCTGGCTGCTCATTGTGTATCAGTGAATAAAACAAGGGAAAAAAAAATAACCTCTACTTTCATTGAACTTACTTTTTTGAATTAGAGCATCTTGATTACTGTCAAAGCACATCTCAAACATGGCTAGGAATGTGCACTGCTATTGTGAAATCCAGAGTGAAAGTGAAAGTTCAAGTAAGTACAACATGTCAAGAACTGATAATAAACTACCATTCTGTTAGCATCTGCTTTTTAATTCTCCCAAGGGTTCAAGACTATTTGTGCCAAGTACTATAAATCAAGATTTCTTTCTTCAAGAATGTACAGTCAGATGTTCAAGTTAGCTGACCAGTTACTCTCAACAAAACCAAACCATGAGCACTAGTTAAAGAGGAAACCCATCCTTAGAGAAGTTAAGTGATGTGGGTCAAATGGTAGAAAAGCGCAACACCTAGTTCAGTATTCTAGTACATTACACTGCCTTTCTCCTTTGATTCAGATGTCAATCTTATTTTTTAAAAATTATTTTGAGGGGCGCCTGGGTGGCTTAGTCGGTTAAGCGTCCGACTTTCGCTTGGGTCATGATCTCGCGGTTCGTGGGTTCGAGCCCCGCGTCGGGCTCTGTGCTGACTGCCAGCTCAGAGCCTGGAGCCTGTTTCAGAGTCTGTGACTCCCTCTCTCTCTGACCCTCCCCTGCTCATGCTGTCTCTCTCTCTCTCCTAGAAATAAATAAAAAAAACATTAAAAAAATTTAAAAATTATTTTGAATGTTTTACTTATTTTTGGCACAAGGTGAGACAGGGAATGAGTGGAGTTGGGGCAGAGAGAGAGGGAGACACAGACTCTAAAGCAGACCCCAGGCTCTCCAGTCTCTCCAGACTCTCAGCACAGAGCCCGACGTGGGGCTCAAACTCACCAACCGTGAGACCATGACCTGAGCCAAAGTCAGACACCCAACCAACTGAGCCACCCAGATGCCCCTCAGATGTTCATCTTCTTACAGCCACATCTGTGTTTCTGAAGATCTCCTATATAGCTTGGGACAAGGCAAAATCAGTCCATAGAGTTTTCCCCAGCTTGCCTCATAAAGAATCACTGTCATAACACCACTGGCACACACTTGGGCTACAATGCTATGCTGGTATAACATATATCTACATTAAGCATGTCTACATTAAACTGATTATTAGTGCCAGTGGATACTAACATTGCAAGTGAAATTTGGAGTTATGAATAATTTTGCTTTAGTAGGTAATGATGTTTGTTGATACTCTGAGTCAGAACTCAACACCACCTTGGCAAAATAAAGTAGTATGCTGTTCCCAACTGGTTGGTATGAAAAAGAATGCTTATTGCAAAAGCATTTTTCAGTTTTTCCATAAGTAGTTTAATATAACATTTTTTATTAGAAAAAGAGAAAAGAAATCATACTCAACTCTTTCTCTGTTTCTGCAAGTTAAACTGAGCTCTACAGATCATCTCTGGGCTGTTAATGCTAACTTAGGAAATCTCAGAGTCTAGCCTTAAAATGCAACAATACAGAATGATTTTTATATTATCAAAAGGAGGCTTATGAAGATGAAGAAACACTCTCACTCCTGCATCCATAGAAAAGGAGAGATCATTCTTTGTCACTGACTATTTCAAAGGATCTGATTTGATAAAACATTGTATCATAAACTTTCACAAGAATAAACTGGTTTTCCTATGAAACATATGGACTTAGGTAAATAATCGCAAATTTTATCAATTTAGTTTTCCTCTGTTACTATAAATCTGGTTTGGGAAGTAGGTTTTGATTGGAAAG